TATATATAGTATTTTTTTTAAATAACTGCTGTATAATGTTTGCATTGCCTTTAGCTGCGCTTTCACCTCTAACACTTATGGCTTTTTTTGTCTTATTTCTTAGTAGACCATTACTCAAGCTATGCTAGAATGCCCAGGAAGTAATTTTTAACTCATGAGTAAGTATTTACTCCTCCAGTACTGGCCAACAAGAGACTCAGTGTAACACCCTATTACTGTCCATAACAACTGCGTTTTAAAAGTTAGGCTCATGCATTTCCAAGTAGGTGGAGTATATGATATTTCTAAATTTAAGGGACACTTTGGTAATGCAAATTATTTCAACTGGATAAATGCCACCTTTCTAAAGAGGACATATTAACTCATTCTGCATATTGTTTCTCTTAGGTTTTTCCATGTCTCTTGTGATTGTGTCTCTTGTGATTGTGTCTCTTGTTCTCTCTACAATGGTTGCTTTCAAGGCAGAAAAGAAATGGAAGTTACTTATAGATTAGATTTACTGGAAGGTCTTTAAAGCTGAACAGTGCATAAAGGCGGCAAATTAGCTTCTCATCTCAACTGAGGGTTAAATCATGAACAATACTTCCTTTAACAAACTCTTCATTTAAGCACAGTTTTGCTCCATAATTCCAGAACTACAACAGTAAAATCACAGGAATCAGTGAAACTCCCAATCTCCAGGTAACACATTCAAATTATAAACTGAAGTAACTCACTTTATGACAGCCTGGAGCTTCTCACAGAGCACAGTGAGGACAGATACAACATCATCACAAAGAGACTCAGTTGAAGCACCTCCAAAAAGGACAAAGATCAGAGGTATTACATATTTGCAGCTGGATTACAACCTCAATTTACCGCATGGATTTTCAGAGCTAGTTAGAGCTTCTAAGCAATGAGCAGGGCTGCCAAAATTCATACAGAAGACGCAGTAGGAAAAAGTTCTAGATTGGAAAGTGATCTCCATACAATGAAAAATCAGCAGTATTAAATCCACAGAGAGCACTGACTGCTTACATGCATTTACAGGAGGTTAGCTGAAATCTAATTCAGATAATAAAATAAGGATACAAATAAATTTAAAAAAAGGACTGGCTGCAGTACTTCTACATGGCAGCTAAAATTTTTGTATCTTTCCCTGCAGTTTGTCTTTGCTACACAACTTCTGATGTATGATCAGGTTCTGATCTTAAAAGAGGATGCTTGTACACTTCAAAGATTTTAGCCTCCATCCATACAAGTTCTCCTGCAGAAATCCAGTGAGAAGGTCAAAAGCAGGCATTATTTTTACCTATCAGGGAAGATGTTGGAAGTTAAGACAGAATGGAAGTAGAAAAAAATTCTCTTGTAAAATAATAATTTGACAAGCGTGAACAGACCTTCACTAGCGATGTGCTTGCAAAAGCTGCCATTATATAAACTGTTTCTCTGGCCTGAAATACAATAACACAATCATTTCCAGATTCAACTCCATGAATCTATTTCAATTTAGGAAGTAAAGCCACTTACTAGAACTTTTTCCAGAGCACTCAAACTCCTTAAATACAGAAGTTAGAACCTTGAAACAATCATTTATTACTATGTTGTAGTGTGATGCTGTTACCATGCTCCAAATGAACACATGACTGAAAGTTTTAGGAGCTGACACGGCTATCTCAGTTCTTACCACAGGTAGCAGGGTGCATAAAGCTATGGAGAAAGTAAGATATCCTGAAGATGCAATTCCTGTGACATCAGGAACTGTGCTGATGAAAGAAAAGTGAAGAATAAAAAAGCTGGATTGGAAAGAATCACTAAAAAGTATTACAAATACCTTGACTCTTGAATTTCTGTGAGGTGTCATGGTTGTCAATGGTCTGTTGAGGAAAGACAAAGGCGGTATAATTGGTGCAAAGAGCAGAAAAACACTGCAGAAGCAATACTTTAACAGCAGAGCTTTCTTAACAAATCCATGTCTTCCACCTGGTTTGGGTTTGTTAGACGTTTTGGTTATTTTTAGGTGAAGCTTTTGCAAAACTTTTTCAGAAATTCCATAAGATCTGTTTTAACAGTACTTTAGATTTAAGGAACTCACATCTCATTGGGCTGAACTAAGATTTGTAAGTACTTAAGGGATTTCCTACACCTAAATAAACTCAGTAATAACTAGGCACTTAAATTGCACTGAAAATGAGAGGCAAGCATAATCTAGATTTCACAAAGTATTTAGAAACCAGAATTAATTGAGTATTAGAAAGTTTATCACATTGTCATCATTAACGTTACAGTGCCAACACAATTAATGGCAGTCAGGAAATGGAAATGACCTCTTACATCATTCAGTTCAGCTGCAGTACAGGATATTTCCTATCACTGCACAAAGAGGTCAAGCCAAATTCTTCTCTCAAGCGTCACCAACAAACTGCCAGGAACCAAATGCACCTCTCATATACTTTCACCTGCTCCTTCAGCTCTTTCAGACCCAAACTACTGGGGGTGTTTTGTTTTGTTTTTCTAAATGTTTTGGCTAGTAAAATGAACCTACTTAGCACAGACAGAAGAGAAATTGAAGTAAACCAATTAATTCTGTTTTGCAATTGCTCATGAGGATGAAAGTAACTTAGTCTACTAATCCAAACCAGAAATGATAATCTTAACCCAATACAGATGCAAGTAAAATAATCAAACAACTAAAAAGCCCCAGCAATCTGTACAACTACAGTCCTTAAAATTTCCTAACAGAAACTGACTTTAAAAAATAGCATGGTTTTGATAATACGTTCAAACCAGCATGAACAAATGAAAAAAGGCACTTTCCTTAATTGAGAATTTATTTCGTTTAGGAAAATTGTCATGCAAAAACTTTTGGCAAAAAAAAATTTCAATGAACTGTAGGAGAATAACAAAACAAAACAAAAAACAACAAAAAAATGGAAAAGGAAAGGGCCAAGGCAGCCGGGTATCAGAACTAAGCTTCTTTTGGTTAATGGAAAGAGGAAAAAAAAAATTAAAATGTCTGCCAAGTAAGCTGACAACGTGAAAGGTGCCTTTCCAATAGACTGCTCTGAGGCAGGCACAGAGTCAGAGCCCCAGAAAGCTTTCAGACAGGGTTAATGTGGAAGCATCAAATAAAAACCATAAGGCACAACAAGCCAGTACAATACACTGCACTCAGAGAAACAAAAAGACACACAGCCATGGACATGGAACCATTTGTTGATGCCAGACGGCTCACCATGTTTTCTTGCTTTTGTCGTAACTGTAAAGTCAAGTCACTCAACATTTGGCTGAGGGTTGCCCGCACAGCGGTGTTAATGCTCCGCTGGTGACAGCTAGATACATATGTCTCAATGCAAACCTGATGAGGAAACAAGATAGCAGTACATAGATATGAACTGTAACTTACCAGGAACACACTTTAGGAGGATACCAAGGTCTCTCGCATGCAGATAGTCAGCCTTCCTTACTATTTCATATTGCTTTATTAGCACATTAGAAGTTTTCAGCAATATAGAAAACTAAGTAGCATCTACAAGCAGCATGCAATTCATCCGTCTCACAGGTGCAGGAATGGTAGGGCAAAAATGGCAAACACTTAGGTTCTATCAAACCCAAGCGATTATTACATATGGCAGCACATTGAAAAGCCTTTGAAGGCCTTTCCTAATACAGAAAATACAATAGTGCTTTACCATACATAACATAAATGATTGCCTTTTAATGGCTGCCAATCAGGCTGAGGGCTCCTCAGCTCCGGGATCCCATGGAAGCCAAGGCAGCAATGGAATCATGGATCATCCATTTCCTAGCTCCATGCCCAGCTGCTTGACATTGTGCTGTGACCAGAGTTGTGCTAGACTTTTGGCTCAGCTGACATTACATAAATAGTTGCCCAAACATAACACCGGTAGGATCCTGGGGACAGAACGTTGCAAACTGCAGTTCTGCAAACTGCAAACGCAGTTCCTATGCTTGATCAGCTTTTTTTCTGTGAGGGGTGTGCTGTAGCTGTAGTAGCCACTGTAACTACTGCACAGTAACTACTAAGTGGATGAGTCTTGATGGAGCTGAGTAGATTTGTGACAGTGTACAATACAATCTTCTAAGACTGTGATCAAAAAACCAGCTTTGGTCCTCTGGCCTACATTGAGCTTTATCATTAATAATGACCAGGACAAAAAGAATGTACATGACTGTTCACATACTTTTCAGACTTTCTGTTTTTATTCTGTCATTGTTTGGATATAGAGCTAGTGAGAAGAACCATTAATATAGATTAAACTAGCTGTGAAAAATATATTTCAAAATACATACAGTATAAATGATATGCATGATAAGTAGACATAAATGCATCTGTTGTAAGTTTTTGAATGAGAAAGCTATTATATGATGGAAAACTATTTTTACAGTTCTGTAACGAGGATAAGTTTTTAAGAGAGAAAAATTCAAGTGATCTGATTATATAAGCTAATCACTGTTGACACAGGCATATGGACAAGACTCTTGATTGTTCCTAACTCCTACTGAAATGAAACCAAGCTATTCCATTGAGTAAGACAAAAAGGCTGTGGGGCTTGAGGCTATGAAGTTTAACATGCTGCTAGTACACTTCTGCATTTGTTAGTGTAGAGAGAAAACAATATAGCTATGTTCCTAAAACTCTTTTGACCTCCTCACTTTGAAGGACTTTACATTTCAATGAAGCCACGAGGACAAGAAAACATGACTGAGTTTCTTGGATACAAACTGTATCTTAAGTGAATGTTCCAAGACATCACACATGGAAGCTACTTAATTATGGCTCTTACGTTATTTTCTCTTATTTCCCAACTACACTGAAAGATAGCATTCCAGAGCTTTTCAAGTGTGTGTACATCACTTGTTAGAAACACTATACAAATGATAAACTAAGACCTATTATCTCCTTTGACAATACACTAGAACTAGGTTGCAGTTGTATGCAGTTGTGGGATATAAGGGATATAAAGGACAAAACTGACAGCATCTTATTCTTGTTAATTTTCAGGATTCCAAGATCCTCACAAATAAATAAGTGGGTTTATTTAGCCTGAGATCAATCAGTCGGTGATGAAGATGGTCTTCTAAGTTAAAAGAAAGCCTGCCCATCATTCAGCTCTGCCCATCATTCAGCTATCACCTGAACTCCAGTGGACAAAAAACCTTAAAGCCTGTTAACCATGTACAGCCCTCCACAGAAGCCAAACCATTCCAGTGCTGCTGAGGTCATTCTCTTGAGCTGTAAGTCTTTTTCTAGAATACCTGAATTAATTGACAAAATACCATTCTTAAAGGTAGGCTGACTTTCTGGAAAGAGCATGGTTGATATCTGCTTCTTCTCTCCCCTTCCCATGCAGCTAACGAGCAACAGTACTTTCCACCTGAGGCCCGATCTTACAGACGGCCTGTGTTCTGAAATGGCTGGGCGAGGTACCTTTTGAAAAGCCATTGATGAAGAAGCACCAGTAAAAATGCGAGAGCTCAGGACCCCAAGGAGTTGTGCAATGGACATTTTGATCATTTCATGCATTCGGGGACTTCCAGCTCTATGGCATGCAAAACACAACTAAGAGCAAAACACAGAGGGTTAGCCAACAAAACACAACAGAGTCAAACAAAACGAACCTCCAAAACGTAGATGGAACTAACAATACACACATAAAACTAAACACGAACTAAATTTTCTTGCAGGAGTGTAAGCAAGCATGGGAAGGTGCATGAAACAAGAACCAGCCAGTTTTCAATTTTATTAATACTTAAACCACAAAAAATAGTACTCTTCATGTTTGGTGCTTCCTTAATTTGAAGCTGATAATATTCAGAAAGACTTGAGGTTCCAATATTTCGTACACATGAATTAAGAACTATCCCATAGCGGAAAATGTAGTCCTGTTTGTCAGAGAGTCCTCAGAGTGTTCTACTAGCAATGCAGATAGCACCTTTCTAATTTTGCAGTGGCTCCACTTTGCTACAGAGGGCAGGCCAGCAAAACTTAGGGATTAAGTTGGAAAGCAACATCAAACAGCAGAGTCACTGGAGCAGAAAGCTCATCTCTGTCACCTTGGCCTTAGAGCAAGTCAGAACAATAAATGCTGAGGCTAAGCAAATGCTGAACTCGGAAATAATTTCTTGTTCCCTACTGCTTATACATTGCAGAATTCTGATACAAAGGCATATTGGTTCCTGCTGTTAAGTGTCTTTCCTTACCTAAAACCTGTCCAGGAGGAACCTTAGGAAGCTTGTATGTGCCTGGTGGGACTTGCTAATTAGAAAGACCTAGACATTTACTGAGGCAGTATTTTCTTAAGGATTGAGGAAAATAGCTGTACCTCCAAACACTCCAAATAGAAAAATGCATGCTCTGTATTACAGCTTGTTCCAATTCCCTGAAAGAAATGAAAGTTTTGTTTGCTTTGCTGGCATATCTCATCAGCCTGCATAAGAGGTCCTGTTCACTTTAACAGAAAAAGGACAAACTATCACTGTGCTAATTTGTACCACTATACTAGCAAAGGTTTTTAAGAGCCAAGCTAGCCTTCTGGGAATGAAAGTCAAGCGCGACTACCAAGAACAGCAGTTTAACTCCAATCTATGAAAGAAAACTGCCATTTTCAGAATTCTTTAAATAAATCACAACCCTGTTTTTATCCAAATTTAGAGAGAACAGAAAATCTGATTTCTGATACAGCTTATAGCACACAGAGCATGACTGACTGACTGACCATTTTCAGAATCTTACGCAGTGCTCTTAAAAAGTGAAATCTGAAGGGGTATTTTTCCAGCCAGTATTTTGTCTAAGCTAGAGCTCTGTACCTACAGCAAAGTGATGCACAAGCTTTTGCCTTGCACGTTAGAAAGTCTGCTGAGAAAAAATGCAGGGAAAACTACCGACATTTTCTTCAGTTTGAGATACTGACATGAGGAGGGTTTAGTAAAACTTAGAAAGTTGTGGCTTGCTCTAAATACAAATTCAGTTCATCCTTGCTGCAGCATCTACAAGTAGGCCTTACAAAGACCTCCAAAAATAGCCATACGTTGTAGTTTAACATAACACAAGAGAAACCAAAGTCTAAGCTGTGCAGGACATCTGGAATGATTACTACTCTTTTTGTCTTGCATACTGCATATACACAAACTGTTGTATCCCTGCCTCTTAAAGCCCATTTGTCACAAACTGGCATCTGTTTTCTTTGGTCCCCTGTTATCCCTACAGCCCCCATCCTCAGCTTTCAATAAGACAAAGCAAGGTCAATTTTATTCCTAAACTTAGAAAATACTGTAACTTCCAGGTAAAATGAGCTATTTTCACATGGGATTTTTATTTTTTACAAAAAAAAAAAATAAAAAAAAAATTAAAAAAACAAACAAAAAAAACCCCCAAAAACCAAACCACCCCAACCAAAATACCAAAACCTGAGAAGAAACATGTCTCTAAATGTCTACATACATTTGGAGCATAGGACACGTATATTTTATATACATAACATCTACATTACTCCATGGGCATTAGCTCTCCCCATGCCACCTTAACAATATAATGCCATAATACATTCTGCACTGTGCTGTGCAAAAATATTGAGTGCTTCTGTGCATCTATCTAACCTGAACAAACAGCTCCCATGGCTTGCTACACACTGTACTAAAAATATCAGCCATCTATGAAGGCTCACTTAATAGACCTGCAGGTATGTTTTCCTACAGCCAAAGCTCCTTTGAAATTTAATTCAGACTAAAATCTAACAGAATAAAGGAAGAAGAGTGATCAATGGTACCAGAACATCACCGCATATCTAGAGGTGTAATAAATCTTTTACTTGGATGTATTAGTAAAAAGACACAAGGCTGACAAGGCACATTGTGGCACTTGTGTTAACGGCACATTATGGCGTACACACCTCTCTTGAGGAAACTTCATTAGTTTTATACTTGCAGCAGGTAAGAAACCAGCACAGAGCTCTTTTATAGAGAACTTGAGGAAATTTTCTTATTGTAAAAGGCAAAGTAAAGTAAATATGAGAAGCAGTAAATGTGCAACACTGTAATATACAACTGTCAGCCAGTTTCCAAAAGCACCTTCCCATGTAAGCCCATCAACCCTGCCAAACTTACAATTATTTCTTCACACTAGATATAAGGTAATACCAATCCTTAAGATGGTAATTGTGATTTGGACTAGTTCAGCTTCAGGCTATGTATGAAAGACACTCTAGGTAGCAGGGGAATGTTAAGAGACATTAAGACAAGCAATGGTACAACAGAGGCACTTACCTCAGCAATCTTCAACACTGAACTCCCATTCAGCTCAAATGTGGAGGTGTATGTTATACAGAGCAATACCTTGAACCAAAAGAGAGTAAGGAAAAAAATAAGTTTTATCTGTTACTGTCTCCATTCCTTACCCATGTTCTTTTAGTCACAGCTCCTTCCATTTTTAGAGCAGAAATCAGAAGATTCTCAGCACCATGTGTTACTGGGATAAAGGAGATGGCACAATCAAGTTGCTTCCTCCTGAGAAAGAGGTACAGCCTAATGGATTGGCCCCAGAGGTACAGCCTAATGATTATCTAATGCTGTCTCCTAAGTCTGACCACGGAAGGAAAGAAAATCCAGCCATCAGCTCTGGCCTCGGACTTGATAGCCAGAATCCATTCTTAGTTTAACCACAAGCTTTGCATGATTTATAATCAGTCCTTCTATTCATTTCTCTCAGTATAACAAAACAAGAAGGAAAAAATGCATACAAGTTATTACTTAGGTAACACAGATACATATATATTATGTGAAACAAGTTGTTAATTACTGCTTGACATGAGCATTTCCCAGCCTAAGATATTTCCAAGTAAGTATATTATAGTCATTTGATAATAAGCAGCTAAAAAACAATAGATAAGCCCCAATTCATGAGGGAAGGGTTGTCCTGTCTTGAACTCAGCAGGACAAATAAGAACTAAAAGCCCCATCCAACACCTTACTTTGAAAAGAAGGGGAGTGGGAATGTGATGTGATCTACCAGGGGAAGCGTGGTGGGGCAGTGAGGCAGCGTGGTGAGGGGTGGTGTGGTTTGATGCCTTTAATGTCTAGAGATGTCCTCCTTCCCGCCTTCCCTCCCTGTCTTCCTTTCCAATCCCTCCTGCCCCACAGAATACCGAAAGAGTCTGAACTACCATTCTCTCTCCCTCAAATCATTAAATTCCCCCCACCCAGTGCCAGAATTTATGCTTTTCTTGGTCTGAAATAGCATGAGTTTCCTGGGCTAAGTGTACCAGCAAATATCAATCACATTAACACTAATGTTTTGGACCCTACAACTTCTCAGTCCGTAAGAACTACTGTTCTCTGCTTCACAAGGAAATTTGGGACATCAGCTAAGTTAGCATTACTGACTATTAACCATTTCTCTTATTCAGTACATGCATTCCAGTGGCACTAGGTTTTTATTTACAGGTAGGTTCTGCACAACACCTGAAGTAATCTCCTTATTTTAGAATGAAAACTCTCACTCAGCCCTTCATAAACAGATGAGTAATGTGGATAAATACTAGAGATAATGTGTACAGTAAAGGACATGCTAGTCTTCTGAAGTACAATATCCTGGATTATAATCTCTTTTGTAGATATTTAGCATTGACTGTTACAGCAAAGCAAAGTTTCTGAGCCGAAGTCTGAAAGCCTCTTCTTCATAGTTTCTCTTTTCTATGAAATGGGCAAAATGGGTTTTCTCATCTAAAAAATGCTACACAGCCTACCTCAGTATTACGAGGAGAGATATTAGCTATAGAGCACTTGAACTTGCAGGAGAAACAAATACAATTCTAATTACAAATTTTAATAATGTCATACTTTGTATTTCCTGATATGAACTCTACAAATTTCTCTGCCATCTGATGCAATTGCTGGCAAATGGACAAATGCCAGTGACAAGGAACAGAGACAAACTTTTCCTGTCCACAGAGCAAATCCTACAAAATAGCTGAAAAGTAAATGGTCAGTGTAAAACAGTAATCTCATGTGGTTAGTAAGTACATAAGTTATAAGGGCTGTTATTCCCATCTGCTGCTCAGTGCATACCTGCAAAGTTTAGAACTTCAAAACTGAACGATGCTGTTTGGCACTAAGTGAATTCTGAACTGTTAGCCAGCCTCACAGCCAGCTGTTGGGCCTCACTTTCTCGGCTGTTAAGCACTCTGAAATTTTATTGACATATCTAATAGTTGTGAGAGCTCAGCAGCTGGCTAAAAATACATTCAGTATGTAAGGAAAAACTGTGATTTGTACTCCCCATTCACTGCTGCGTGAAACACAGGTACAGTGCACATTCATAAACCCAGAGACAGACAACTACCAACCCCCACTGACAAATCTCTTCTTAACATGCTAAGAGCCAAAATGGACAGCCAGGCCCATGACTAATCTTATTCAGCAGATTGCATGTCCTGATTTTCCCTACCTGTAAAACCTTGTTTGCTTCATGTGATATTCTGCTCTCTTCTACCATCTTGCCTTTGTACAGTTTGTTAATACCTAATGCTTTCCATAGATCAAAACCTGGAAGCCACCTACTACAATACATGGAAGTACACAACAGATCAGGCATTCTTACAGGCCCTTTCTCTTCAAAATCTCTTCTCCCTCTTTTTTTTTTTTTAATTTCCTACCTTTATAGAGCTGAACCATGAAAAGTTAGCACATATATGCCTAATCCTTCGTGTCACAAGTGCCAATAACCTGTTGTAACAGGTGAATGATAGAAAAGTCAGATATCAAGTGCAGTAAGAAAGTGATGATCAACACCTTGCTATGAAGCAACAGGGAATTTCAGCAGAAAGACTGCTAAGTTTTGACTGCTACTCTTGGAACAAAACGAAATCTGGGCACCTACTAGCTAGAGAAACGGTATATCATCTGATGTGATCAAGTAACAGAAGCATAACAAGTTATCAGCCAGCATATTTTTTGGCTTACTCCACTGGCTACTGTCTTACCTCACAAATCATTTGTGAGATCTGAAAGATGGTCTCTAACCAATGCTCAAGACTGCTCTCAGCTATGATTTCCATCAGCGCTGCTGCAGGGCTCATTTACAGTCTTGGCAATGCTCCAGGCACTCAACTCGTGTGTCTTCCCATTTATGTGGAACAAACAGGAAGACAGCAAGCTTCTTTTTCAGATTACTGAATTAAAAAATGGGATTAAAAACAAACAAACAAAACCAAGCTTAATAATTCAAATCCACTAGAAACACTGAGTCTCCAGACAGTATATCTATTGGGATGCTTAACTAGTCACAACACTAACTCAAGCAGTATGTATTTAAAAAAAAATAAAGAAAAGAAAGATAGATAGGTTTTTTTGAACAATGACATTTTGGATTTGCAGCCATTAGTAGTGGAGCCTAGAAACAAAACTACAAAGCAATTCCTAGCAACATCTTCAGTTAAAAACAAAATTGAAAATCAGCTTTTACTGTGATGAGGTCCTAATTGGTATAGGCTCTTTTTAGAGCCTATTTAGAGACATACATTTTTATTTCTCCCTCCCTCCCCTTTTTTCTTTTAAAGAAGGAACTTACATGACTACGAAGATAGTTTCAAAGTCACACAACCTCCAAGATGTTTTAATTGGCTTGCATTATCTTGCAAACGCCTGGATAAGATCACATTTCTGTAAATGGCTTATCCATTATGATTTCTAATTACAGTTGACTGTCATGGAACAAGAAATAAAATTCCTGCACCCTGGAATCCCGGGGTACCAATTGTAGTATGAGAGCACACAAGTATAATATTCACAAGTAGGAAAAAAAAAAAACCAGGACAACAAAAAAAGTACTTCTGATGATAATGAAGTGACAATGAAGGTTAATTGACACAAAATATATGACTATCCTGTATTTTAAGTTAAGCGTCTTGAAGAAGCAAAAAGAGAGAATTTTTTCAGCTTGTAAGACTGCTAAGTGTTGCTAGCCAAGTTCCCCAAGTGCTTGGCACATATATGTAGTTATAAGGCAGTTTTCACATTGAAGAGCTTATGATGGAGTCATGTCAAATAGACAAGGTGTATAAGAAAGTTAGTATCCCCAAGACGGAGAAAGCGGGAAAAGGTACAAAACCTTAAAGCAACTATGATTTGTCATCACCTGAGGATGCTTCAGCACTTCACTACCTTTAAGTGCCAAGAGCAACATCCATATGCTACTGTTATCCTTTTTCTATTCCAGCACTCAAAGTCGCACTGGCAAAATCCTCTGAACATTCGTGTTCCTCCTACTTAGGATGCACGTAGACAGTATAGTCCCTAGAGTGCTGAATTCTGCAGCAACCTCTAATCCCTTTGTGGGATTCAGAGAGGAGACTTTTTCTGACTTACTCTGCTTGCAGGCTTGTAAACTTGGATGCAATGTATGTTTGGATGCTTCTTAAATCCTCCCCCCAAGGAGGAAATACCCAGACAGAAGACAAGGCAGGACCACCATTTATCTCGTTCACTAATATGACGTGTAAAGCAGCCACCTAGTATTTCTGCAAAATAGTTTGGACAGGAGGTGTCCTCCTGTTTCTCAGAATAACTAGTAACCTGCTCATGTCACATTCTTTGGCCTGAAGGAAAACAAGGGCAAGAGAAACAAAATGCACCAGTGAACTTACATACATTGTGTCACCATGTATCACTGTACAAAACAGCAGATATTAACTACGGAGAGAAAGGAGACAGTGTCTCCCATGAATCAGTAAAGCCATAAAACACCTTGCTATCACAGCAGCAACTGGTGCTCAGCATTATGAACGCACTGGACCTTCAAACAGGAAGGGCTGTATCTGGTATAAAATCTCACACATCATCAGTGATGACATGCTGGATGCTCCCAGAAGATGATGCCCATTAATTCACTAGACTGAAACAGAACTACTGCTGAACACTTTTTATGGTGGTATGAAACCAAGTCAGACTTCTGCTTATGTGTTATGGTTGTAGATGGAAAGAAATTATTTAAAGCGATTGCTTAGTAGATATTTAAGAAGTTTTCTTAACAGCTCTGAGAGGGGCTTTTATGTTTAGAATTGTAACATTTAAAGGAAGGGAAGATTGGAAAAACAAAACCAAAAAAGCAGCTGACTGTCACCACTAGGATGGCATTTCCCCTTCACAGGTTACAGCCTAGTCAGGTATAGTACATTATTTTATGAATTAGAGATATATAACTGAGTAAAACAAAACTGAAAAAGGACAAATACCAAACTAAAACAACAAAACACTTAAAGAGCTCTCAAATAAAAATGAAGCTGCGTGCATCCACTACCAAAATGATCAGAAAGGATGTCAAAACATGGGTGTAAGCA